CACACACACACACACACACACACACACACAAGCATACACACGCGCGCGCGCACACACACACACACATACATGCATACACAGACAGGGTCGTCGCAATATGCGTTTTTGCAATTTGCATATAGGCAAAAACGCACAAAAACATGACTCAACAAAAAAACGAAGGAAAAATATTGAGTTTATAAATATGCTAGTATCGGCATTTTAAACTTCATTTTCATGCGTTTCTGCATACATGCAAATGCGAAACGCATATTGCAACGACTCCGGTGTGTGTGTGTTTCTGTTCGGATATTTTAACTCGGCACCCAAGCAAGCTCTGGCGTCAAAATTTTGCTGGTGGATCCCCCAGCCAAGTGCCACCCCAGGACCACGGTACCAGCCTTCACGTAAGTCTAGGCCCCGCGTACGAGAGGGTCAAAGTTTTGGCAGGAAAATCGCTAACTCAGGAACCAGAAAAGTTAGAAAACTAAAATTTTGAGGTCATTTTCCCCGTGCATGTGGCATTCAAAGATTTCAAATTCAGCCCCCAAGTGTGCGTGGTACTCATGTATGACGCCGTGAGGGTTCTTGGCGCGAAAATCGCTAACTTGGGAGGAAAGTTGGGGGCTGAAATTTCCAGGGAATGTTCCCAGCAATTGTACAACTTAATATCATCGAATTCAGCTCCCAGGCATGCGTAGTTCTCACGTACGGCCCCGTGAAATTTTTTGGCTGGAAAGTGCCTAACACGGAAGCCAGGAAAGCTAGGAGGCTGAAATTTTCAGGGAATGTTCCTAGCTCGTGTACAACAAAAATTTATCAGATTCAGTCTTCAGGCATTCGTGGTTCTCTCTTACGATCCCGTAAAATTTTTTGACGGAAAAATGGCTAACTCAGGAAATAGGAAGGTTGGGAGCTAAAATTTTAAGGTTGTCTTTCCAGGCCCAGTAAAAGTTAAAGATATCAAATTCAGCTCCCAAATACGTGTGGTCCTCATGTACGAAGATACGTGTAGAAACGTACGAACCCATGAAATTTTTTGGCAGGAAAATTGCAACTTTAGAACGGGAGATGTTGGAAAGCTGAAATTTTAGCGGATTGTTCCCTGTTCAAGTACCACGTAGACAATTAACTTCCCGAACTTCGAGAACCAGTATGTCGCAAATCCCAGCTACCAGATTTTCGAGCGATCTCATTACAGCACGAAATACTGCAAAAACGCATGATCGCACAGACCCACCCGGTCACCAACGGTATCATATTATAATCAAAATTTTACATGTAAGCAACCACGAATTTTATTGTTTTGCTAGAAGAACCATTCTACGGCTTGCCAATTTTTTATAGTGGTTAATTGACCTAGTAGTTTTAGGATGCAAGTCATTGTCAGCCCTGCTTTAATAATGTTTAAAAGGAGCCAATCATTCAGGACGAAAATACATGGAAAAATAGAAATTTGGAATGAAGTCTGTGCGGGAGAATTTACAGTAATTTAGAACCCCGATAGAGATTTCAGCTGAACCAAGGCTGTTTATCTAGGTCGTAGCAGAAGTGTAAAGCAGAATATAACGCGGATTGAAACTTCTTCATAACTCTGGCATAGCCAGGTGCCAGTCGCTTCCCACCACTACCTCCATTTAGTTTTTGTCGTCGAACCACAACCGTCAGTTTAAATCGAATGAAAATATTTTAGAAAGCGGTGAAAAGCGATCATTCCTTTATCGCCTTTACGATCGCTGCTGAAAAGTACTTTTAATCGCAGTATCATAAAAGCTTTCACAAATAATCCATTTAGATTACAGCGGCTGTTGTACTTTCTGAACTAAGAAATAAGATTCAGAAGTAATTAGAAAGGTAGGAATAAATAAGTTGAGATGCATTTTTTAGTTCACAACAGCAAAAGGCGTAATAAAATGCTAAACTTACAAATTTGTTTCAGGTATTTCCACCACAGTATTTCCTAATTCATTTCTTATTGGATTCGATCACTAAAAATCCGGAAGATGTTACACATACTGCTTATACAAAAATCCTTACCATCACTTCACCAAAGGACTTCGCAAAAATCGAAGAAGCGTACGACATCATTGCCAATATGACTAACCAGTGCATTGAGGTAGTTATTGCAACCATTACACAATCACTGCATATGGCTGATTGCTTTTATGTTTCGCTTAAAAAACATCAATTGATCAAACAACTGCGCGTGGTGAATAGCTATACCAATATCGGTGATGAACAGATATTTTTTCGTACAACAGATTCCTAAATACGAACCTCACTTCTAAAGTGTAAGAGATACCTCAGAAGTTAATGTACGAATTAAGAAAGTGGGTAAGAAAAACAAACGCAAGAAGTGCCGGCAACAAGACTGTTTATAGATGCTGCTGACTTTGAAGAATTTAGCAATTATTTCCAAATCGACCAGAAAATGAATGTTTCAGCGATCGCCGGCCTAAGAATGCACATCGCAGGGGCTGACGGATGGCGCAAATTTTACAGGTCTACCGATGTTCATAGAGTGTCGAGTATCATACCCATCTCTTCAAAAGCATCGTGCCGAAAGCGATACTGTGCGAATGCACAACAACAAACCCAGGCTGGAACGCACCAGGCGGGCCGGTGCGATTATGCGTTTTTGCACTCTTCGTGCCGT